ATAGATGAGTGCAGGTTTAGCAGCACAGATTAGTGTTGTTTAACGGTTGTCTTTCACTGTGCTCGCTCCGCAGTGCTTTTACTTTCCCCCTTCTGGTTATCACTTTCAGCTCAGTGGTTTGTGCTGTTTGTGCAGCGGCTCTCAATCTCATTGTCTTTGCACATTGCTTTTGAACCCTGCATAAAAAAGGACTGGCCTAAATATGAGGATGCAGCTCTTGATTCTTCAAATGTTAGACTGAAATTCGAAGTCTCCCCTCTTCTTGTGCAAGAAAATATAAACCATAGTGATATTGCAGCTCTTGAGCAAAGAGAAAACAGCCCAGCATAGGCTAAATTTGTGTTATTTAAATGTTTCCCTTTTTCAACAATATACATTAGTTGTGTGGTTTAATGTAACCTTGTCAATTATTACATTGTAGATGATTTTAGACAGAGAGCCCGCGCTGCTGCTTTTAGTTGTATTCATAGGAGCTGTACTTACAAAGTAGTCTTTGTTTAACTTTGTCAGAATCAGAGTTCATTAACTGTAATTGGGGAAACCTGGACGTGACGTCATGACTATATTTCTCATCCTGAGATGACAGTGCGCTGTACCTTGCAGTGATTCTAATCATGACTGATTCTTATTACGACACAGGGTGACATAGAGAGCAGCTCTTTTAAACAAATATTAGCAGGTATACATATTTTAAAATGTGTTCTCTCGCTTTAAAAGGGCAATTGACTCCTTTGCCATTGCTTCTAGAGGAATTTACCTTTCTGTGTTTTTTTTCCGTGGTGCGTCATGTTTGACATCACAAACAGCGAAACAAATACATCAGAAGAACTAACAATGATAATATGTACCCAGCTGTCATTTTATTAAGTACACAGCTAAATCTAACCCTCAATGAAGCTACTGTTGAACTGCACTGCATTATTCTGAATGTTGTCTCTAATCTAACACCTTCATGCAAATCACACATTATAACGTTCAACAAAATGGGATTTTTTTAGCATGTTAATGCTTCTTTTTCCTGCGGCGTACCTAATAAACAGGCAACTCTTACTGCTTCTTATTTAAAATAAAGAGAAGTTTTCAGTATGTCTGTCAGCTGCATTTCTAGATACAAAAAGACACAATGTCATTCTCATGCTAATATATCACTTCGGTGATGTTTTATCTATTTTGTGTATGTATAGCAGAGTTGACCTGTGCTGGGTCCCACCATTATTCCACCTGCAAATCTCTGCGTTCCCATCGTTCTGCACATGGTGGGTGATGATATGCAAATAGTTCCAGCTTCCTGCTCGCCTGCGCTCCTTTGTTCCACCTCCACTAACAAAGGTGTAGATCAGATGCCCTGAGAACAGTTGTCTCTCCTGTTCACTCTCTATCGCTGCGGTGGAGGCAGGCGACAGAGCCTGAGGTTTGGTTCTTAGCAGGACACGATGTTGTCAGGGCATCAGGTGAGAGCGCTGCACCGAGCCCCCTCAGCCCACCCCCACCCTCCGCTCCTCACTTAATCACTTCTGACACAATGCCAATTCCACAGTGGGTGGCACACACAGCTTTATTCATAGATGTGGCAGCCGCGCACCGATCAGATCTCAGATTGTGTTCACCTTTCATGCTGCATCAGGTATAGCACGGTGGTCACTTCCAGATCTTTCTGTTGTTTCTGGATTGTAAGTGGTCTGGCATTAAACAACGCTCCAACAACCATTTGTCAAGTGGTTGGCATTTGATGGTCCATCAGCATGACTTTCAGGGGTATTACAACCGATAGGCTTTCTGCCATTAAAAAGCAGAGAGCAGATGACCTGAAACTATAAGCCTCTACGTACGGGGAAAGAGTGGAAAATAGGTGCAGCTGTTAACCCAGTCACTGAATTTAAGCTCCAGCTTCAATGAAACCGCAACTGAGTGTCCTGAGGGCGTAGGCAAACAATTTACTGAATTGAGCCAGACATAACTGAAAAGTCATGTCTGAGGCACGTCCATGTATAGCCGCTGTACGGTTACTATTGTTGCCTCTGAAAAGCTGAAGAGGAACTGCGGAGCAATCATAAAGCATGCAGGGAAGCAATTTCTTTCTCTTATTCAAGTGAAAAATTATTCTGTGCTGTCACAAAAGACTCCTTAACAAGGTGCTTTAAACTCTCTGGCAGTGCATTGCTGCGGGGTGTCAAAAAGTGGATAAGGTATAAATGAAGCTTAAACTCAAAAGTCTGTTTCTGGTAATAGCAGCATTTCATTCCCTCTCCAATGTGCTTTTGATGTGGAGCTAAGATTAACAGTGTTAAATCATTCTCTTCACTGTCTCAAACTCACAACACGGGCATAATGAGCAGGATGTTGAGAACAAGAGTGTTTCTTTGAGGTGTACTAACACTCTGCGCACTTATTATATTTTCTTTTGTTCAGTTGTTGAATTGGAATTCAACCCTTGGTATATACACCCCTTTTGACCATTGTGTATTATTAAAAAAAAGTCATGTATTTTGAGGTGACAAAGGAGGAATACCCAAAAATTCAGGAATGTTTCTTTCAGCTCCTCCTAATCCTCCATCATACAATCCTGGCCATTTATGCTTGAGTGGCTGAGGCGGCGCAAGGTGCCAGGGAATCCAGGGATTCCGGCCGAGCAGGAAGATTTGCACGTCAAACGTGTCGATCCCTCAGAGTTAATGAGGCCTGTTGTTTGGGCTTCCATTATCAGGCTGCTGCATCCCAGGCCAGGCCTGAGCACAAGTCATGCATCATAAAGTTTAGACCCTCCTTGATACATTGTGGACAGTAAGTAGAGCTCAGCAGTTCTCCTCCGTCTCTGTAAATAAATGCAGTAGACCATTGAATGTTCTCACAGCAGATAAAATAGACAATTGCAGTGCCACCTTTAATGTATTGTAAACAAAATACACCAATTTTATGCATTACTAGTGCAGTGTCAGTTCAAAACCTGTCTGTTCTGAATGGACTGTTCTCTTGTCCTGTGTCAGCGCTCTGGAGCTACTTCAGAATTATTTTCATTATTGAGTCCTCCTCAAACAGTTCTACGATATACTGTCACTTTTTTATTGTTTGTGTGCTGGACGTTGTGTGCAGAGCTAGAGCAGTCTAGAGTGCAGAGTGAGGTTAGAAATTTTTATGTTCATCCTACCTGGTTTCTAAGATTTTGTCGTCAATGTCTTTCATTCAAAGAAACCAAATTTGCTTCATTACTAGTAAGTTAGTTTATTTAGTTATTTTTGATACATTCATTTCATGTCAGCTACTTCAGAGGTCTGTTAAGCAATCAACTAATCTTAAAAATAAAAGCTCTGTAACTCAGCTTGATATAAAGTGTTTCAGCAATGAAAACAATCTCTTTTTTTAAGACAAATTGCTAAACAAGAAGTGATTCTATGAACATTGTTGCCATGACGGAGATCAGCCCCTGTGCTGTGTGTCAAAGTCCGATATTGCAAAATACAAAGATCTAATTATCTAAATGATCTGGCAGCGATTTTGACCTGCAGTCATTTACCACTGCTGCAGTTTATCTGAGGACGTAGAAGTGGACATGTTCAACTCAGTTGCTGACTGACTGCCCTGCCCCTACTTTCCTCCTCATTACATTTTGATCAAAATTGAAGGTACCATGTTTCTAAATCGCACCAAACTGGGCACTGCACTCTCTTGGGCCATTACCAATATGCAAGCCAAGTGTGAAGCCGAAGTTAAACGGTTTGCTGGATATGTGTTACACATACATGCATACAGACAGACAGACAGAGAGACATTTGTGGAATTAGTAGGTAGATGTGTTGTTGAATCCTTGACTGACACATACAGTGAGTCCAGGTGATTCAGTCATCAATAAAACCAGAAGGGTTGTGTGACAGGGTCTGTCCCTCCTTTCATTCTGAATACAAAAACAGTTTTCACTCAATCTCTATTGACAAATCTGATTCCTTTATGGGACACAAATAAATTAGTACAAAACCAGACTGGCTGCTAACATTTACCCAGGTCCCAGACGTCACAATTAGGACCACCTCAAAGGTCAACGCAGATCTTGGCTCGCGTAACAATATTGAAAATCAAAACTAGTGTTAAGATCCGGCCCCGGATCTAGGGAAGGTCATCTAAGTGTCACAGATTTCTGAAAAAGCTCGGCTGCGCAGCACGAAATGTGTCAACTTCAGGCCTCTGAGGTGTTTGCAAAGGACTCGCACACCTGTGACGGGATTGCACCATGAGCCAGGGCTCAGGGAGGGAGAAAGGGGAGCTGTGTTCTGTGCTTCTGCGAATGATTGGCAGAAACTGTCAGGCACACCACGTCAGTTCCATGCAGACACACAGCAGGCGGATGCCAGAGACTGCATGATAAGGAGGGCAGGCTCACAAGGAAGAGGCATCTTCAGAGAGTTATGTCATCCTTCTGAAATCTCTTAAAGATTAGGCCTCAACATGGCTCACACCTAAAGTCTTTAGTGCTCAGAGTATGTCTAAATAACTATCTCCTGACCTATGACCCAAATGGAGTTTAAAAAGTAGCTTTCTTTTTCGGTTTCTTCCCTCTTTTCTTTCTCTTATCATTATATTTCCAAACAGGAGGATTAGTCAGGGTCACATTTTTGTCCACATGCTTGAATTGCACAGAAGGATATGCGCAACCTTCTGGGCTGCACACCACTGGGGCCTGAGCCAGGGTCAGATATCTCAGAGGAGAAAGGCAGACTGAAGACTATCCACTGCATGTTAATTACAGTCAATGTGTTTTGTTTGACCTTGAGACAGGGCCTCATCCTGATTTATTGAAGTCATGTTTCTTGTGGCTATTTTAGGTGAGCCTAGATGTATCTTTTTAAGCATTATTGCACTATTTTCATTTTTTGGCAGCATTTACATTGCATGAACCACAAATGACCCTCATGAGTCAGGTGGAAATGAATGCAAGAAAGTGCTGAAATCGTCCTTGTTAACTTGGTCAGTGTTGTGTATCATAACTATATTTCTTTTCTGGTCCTCAGGGCAGTGCTCCTATGGCCCACCCTGAAGACGAGCTGGAGCGCCTGACCAAGAAGATGCTGTTTGACATGGACAACCCTCCATCTGAGGAATATTTTGGTAAGAATCATCTTGTATAACAAATTTGGATATGTCGCAGTGAGAGAGATTGTGTGAAGCAATGGTAGGATTCCATTTATCTTGGTGAAAGATGACCCAGCAATATGGTGATTCACTGCTGCTCTGTCTTTCTTTTGTCACTAATTTCGAAAAGAAATTCTGTGTGTCTGTTGTACGATTCATCCTCAATTCTTGTGACGCGATTTAACAAATAGAATTCTAAGGATAAAAAAATAACGTGCCTCGGAAAAAGGGTGAGCAGCTTAATGTTTTTTTGTTTTAATGATCAGTACAAATGCTGAAACTGTAGTGCCTCATCCTATTTCAATCTTTTAATTTTTGTAAGATTTGTGTGGAAAGGTAATCGGGCACGACTCAATTACTTTCAATTATGATTACGGCTTCAAATGATTATGAAAACAAGTTAACTAAATATTATCTCACATTTTGTATTGCAATGAAGCTCTTGTTTTGTCTTGCTTGATGACGCCCGGGCCACACTACCTGAGTCAGAGGTATTATGACTGTATTTCCTGGAATAACAGTCGGGTTATGTACTCAACTAAATGCCAGGACACTCCAGTGGAACGTACATTGAAAAAAAGTCCAACATCTTGCGTGCATTCAGTTCACCTGCCACACACACAAGACGTAATGTGAAGTGCACAGCAGGACATCAGGGTAAAGTGACCAAAACGATCCAGATTCATGATAAGACACCATCTATTAGTTAATTAAATAAATATGATCGTCAGTCAGTGTAGACACTCAAATCTGTTAACATGGGCAACAAAATTATTTATTTTTCAATAAATGCAGGATTTAATGCAGCATTTGTTACAATATTGGGTAAAATTATGATTTTTGCCATAATCGAGCAGCACTAATAGTTACTTGTTTGGTTGTTTTAAATCTAGTAAATGGATTAAAAATAGTCATCATACATATATATTGATTTTTGTATGTTTGCTATTGTTGCAACAACAATTACTTCACAATCTATCACTGAAATAGTCCATGACTCACTGTTTCATTCACATGTAGCACTGACACTGGGAAAACTTTGCACCCTGACACGTATCTTTTTTGATAAATTACAAAAGCAGCTCTGAAATCTTACGCAGAGGTCGTGTGATCTCATGAGGAGCAGCTCACTCTCTGGCTTTTCACTTTGATATTTTATGGAAGTAGAATCAAAGTTGTGCCTCCCAATTACTCTTAAGAATTTGTCATAAACTGTAGGTTGTACTATTAAACGGACCTGCCTCATTTCTGGTGGTGAAGGCTAAATAAAACAATGTGGGATAATGGGTTAATAGACTAAAACTGGCATAAGCTTTCCTAGATTAGACTACGCAGTGACCCACAAAGTTAGTTTTGTGTAATAAGAACAATGTTTTTACATAATAGCTCCACCATTGAGACTGAATATTGAGCACAGTGCAGGTGTGTGAGATACAGACTAAACCTAACTAGTATTCTTGGCACATTATCTATTTATTTTGTCTGTGTAGATACAGCATGTTTTTCCAGTCTAGGAAGCAGTCCTCAAGGTAGTCTGTCTCAAGTCTGAGACCCTTTTGGGAATCAGTGTCAGTAGTAGTATCAGTGTGATCAAAGTGTGAGACACAACTTTTGCTCAGGGTGTAATAATAATAATAACAGTAAAGAATCTAGGCAGATAATATCCTGTTTTGATTGTCCAGCTGTGTTCAACTGTTTTTTTTCCTTAAACATTTAATATTAATTTTGTTCTTATTGAAAAAAATAAAAACATTAGTGCCAGGATCAAAGAAAATACAATTTTTTATACAATTTTGCAAAATAGGATTCAAAATACAAGGATTCTTTGCATTTACATTTCATTTCTATTTTTCCGCCTTCTACACCCTCTGCTGCCAGCGAGTGCCATCCCTCTGCTTCTCTAGCTTCTCTAGCCTTTAATCCCCTTTGCCCTGGAATTAGTTCCCATGCCCATTAGATACCTCTCTCAATAAATTCAATGGGACTCTGGAGCAGGCTTTATATCAGCACATAATCACACAGCACACCATGATAACGTGGAGGTGTATTATAGCTACAAGAACATGTATTTAACCGGCATTAAGGGATATTCGGCCTCACATTGGTGCGCTCTGATGTAAAGACCTTAATTGGTTCACATTAGACATAGGTCAAATGGATCTGCTGGCTTAAGCAAAGTGTAGTCATTTTACAGAGGAATGGCCCTCAAAGCCTTGTTGGCCTAATTTCTGCATGAATGTGTATGCCATGCAGACCTGGCATGAACTCTTCTCTACAGCTATACCATGCATGCAATGGTCACTGTTTGCTAACCATGAGGCTGACTGGCTGAGGGCTGGTTAAACGAGGACATGTGAGTTGAGAAATGGGTCATATGTCAGCTGAGGTAGCCAGAACTAGTTAGGGATAGCATGCGCGTAGCCGGCTGACAGTGGCTGGCTGTTACTGGAGAGGATAGGAGGGAGGAGGGTCATCTTGTGGTTAAACTAGGCGACAGCTGAATTAACTGCAAGATAGTAAGAGGATGAGAGCAGGAACCCACAACTGAGGTGACTGCAGGGACTCATTAGGAGAGAGTTCAAGCGCAGGCACATGCTGTTCTGCAAACCCACAGAGCCTCCTTTCTCCCCCGCTGAATAATGTACATATAGTCACCGCAGCAATGTTAAAATTGACTTTAGTCTGGCATGTTTTCCGACTGCATATGCAATTCTGTGGGAGAATCGGTCCCAGAGCACGAGACTTTTGTAATTACAAAGAATCTGATGGCGCACAAGCCTCTTCTTTTGGCGGGGTACAGGGGGAAAGAGGGCCAGCAGTTGTTGAAACCCTCAGGCTAGTAATTAACAAGATTAATCAAAGTGGGGCTGCGATCTCTAGTGCACGACTGGACTGGATCATTGTCTTCCTATAGCAAAGTTTTATTGGTGCCACTAATGTCTTTGATGAGCTTCTAATCTGAAAAAGATATAGTGAGTTTTCACAGGTCCAGAGGGGTTTCAGTGGAATTGAATTAATGTTACACTCTGGCTCTGTGATGTCACAAGGAAACTTTTCAACAGACTCCATCTCTGGCTCATAAATTACATACATAACATTATTGTGACATTTTACACCAACAGCAGTCAAGCAATTGCGCCGGACATGCATTGTCACACACAAATGCTCCTCAAACTGTAAAAAACCTGAAAATGATACATTAGAAAAGAACAGCTTTTCTTGTGAGAAACCCAGTTTGCGAGCCAGAAATTCCCCCTCTGATTGAAGCTTCTTTGAAAAGCCACTGATTAGTCCTGATTTAGAGTTCCAGATTAGATTTGAGTAATCTGAAAGAGCCTTTTCTCCAAATGTCATCATCCGTCATATTTAATCCACTTAGATTGTGCGTAGGTGTACTGTGTTTGTGGAAATCTAATAAGACACAGCTACTCAGCTTGCAGTACAGATGCCTTGGCATCAGAGGAACTTACGATATTTTGTCATCACGACATTTCTGTCAACCAAAACCAGGACGTAAAGCTGAATAATTGAAAGGATGAGATGCTTTGCATTATTTACAATTAGTGTTGATGATACTTGTGCAGTGTAGTTCATTCTGCCGCAGAGAATCTGTTTTTATTCCCCCTTTAATACCAAAATGACAAGTTGAGAAATCCTCCATGTGATCCCAGACTTCAGTTTTCCACTGTATAGAATTAAGAAAGATGTGAAATATTGATATCCAATCAATATTTATACCGAGTGATTTTACAGAGAGGTCTTTGAGCAGTGGCATAAATGTTTTGTAATGTTATTACCAGACAGTGGAGAGAGAGTCATTGGAAATTAGCAGGGAGCGTCATATGAGCGTACTGTACTCCACACAGGACTCTCAGCTGTCTGGTTTTAGCTAGCTTTTGTTTTATGATAAGAGAGAAGAAGATCCAGAGAAGAGAAGGAAGGCTTTGCTATTTTTCATCATAATGTCAGTTGGAGGAGCCCTCATAATTTATGAGACACCTCACATTAAAAGTTCATGAGGAATCTTGGAAGAGATACAAATGGCAGTGTAACTCCAGAAACGGTGCAGGCCAGAGGAATCGGAACAGATCAGCTAAGGTAATTGGGTCAGAAAAAGTTTAGGTTCACACAGTACACTCTGGTGGAGCTGCCTTTGTTTCTTTAAAACACAACCAAGTATCATAACTTAATGTATTAATAGGCTTCCAGTTTAGACAGCTTTGTGCATTGTCTAAGATACTCTGGTGGAAGTGATTTGCATATTACTGAGGTCGCCCTCAGCAACCTCTCAGGAGTTTGCTTTTAGATGTGCCTCTACATGTCATAACAAGTGGGATGTGTGTCAGAGTAAAACCTTTCTGCTGCTTTAAAATGAGCCCCCCCCTTGACTCAACTGCACTTCCTCACCAATCTCCACCTCCACAGTCTCCAAACGCCTTTAGCCAACCATCTCCCCCTAAATTAGACGTCTGTTTCCATTTAGTGTGAAGCTTTACCTTTAAAGTCGTGTTCATTTCTAGCGTTCACTCGGCATGTACACAAACAATAAACAAGAACACCAGTAAATATTGAGGTGAAATATGGTAATACCCCTAAAATTACAGCACTTTCAAGTAACATGCTGCTCAGGAAGAAAACATACAATGTTGCAATTCAAAATGTCTAAAAATGATTTGTCCTCAGTTCTATATTTTGTTGACTATATTATGTTTTCAACAATGTTCATACTCCCCAATTATATTCAAGATATCAGTACGTTTTAGTTTGTATAAAATAATTTCATCAGATCAGCTTTACACGACTTTACCATTCTCTGCTATAACTTCCAGGGCAAACAACAAAAACACACTGCTAGTCAGTTAGGACTGCTGCACACTAGAGGATAATCTGTCCAATTTCTGACCCGCTTCGCCCATTCCAACAATTGACGCCACTGCTATCTAAATATCAAACACATTTGAGATGTTAAGCAGTTG